CAGGTGGTCATCTCATTGTCTAAACACACAGGTGGTCATCTCATTGTCTCAACACACAGGTGGTCATCTCATTGTCTCAACACACAGGTGGTCATCTCATTGTCTCAACACAGGTGGTCATCTCATTGTCTAAACACACAGGTGGTCATCTCATTGTCTAATCACAGGTGGTCATCTCATTGTCTAAACACAGGTGGTCATCTCATTGTCTCATCACACAAGTGGTCATCTCATTGTCTAAACACACAGGTGGTCATCTCATTGTCTAAACACAGGTGGTCATCTCATTGTCTAAACACACAGGTGGTCATCTCATTGTCTAAACACAGGTGGTCATCTCATTGTCTAAACACAGGTGGTCATCTCATTGTCTAATCACAGGTGGTCATCTCATTGTCTCAACACACAGGTGGTCATCTCATTGTCTCAACACACAGGTGGTCATCTCATTGTCTCAACACACAGGTGGTCATCTCATTGTCTAAACACAGGTGGTCATCTCATTGTCTCAACACACAGGTTGTCATCTCATTGTCTAAACACAAGTGGTCATCTCATTGTCTCAACACAGGTGGTCATCTCATTGTCTAAACACAGGTGGTCATCTCATTGTCTAAACACAGGTGGTCATCTCATTGTCTCAACACACAGGTTGTCATCTCATTGTCTAAACACAAGTGGTCATCTCATTGTCCCAACACAGGTGGTCATCTCATTGTCTCAACACAGGTGGTCATCTCATTGTCTCAACACACAGGTTGTCATCTCATTGTCTAAACACAGGTGGTCGTCTCATTACGATTTTATTTATACTTTCAGGCCAATCTTTCAGTGCATATTTTCCCTACTATACTACAGAGAGTGAAATTTAACTGCAGAAAGAATATGGCTTTCAAATTGGAGGTAACAATTATGGTTTTCTTATGATCATATAATATATCTAGTATAAGTGCAATAGTTTCCTTGGTGTGACTTGAATGATAGATAGATAGATAGATAGATAGATAGATAGATAGATAGATAGATAGATAGATAGATAGATAGATAGATAGATAGATAGATAGATAGATAGATAGATAGATAGATAGATAGATAGATAGATAGATAGATAGATAAATAGATAGATAGATAGATAGATAGATAGATAGATAGATAGATAGATAGATAGATAGATAGATAGATAGATAGATAGATAGATAGATAGATAGATAGATAGATAGATAGATAGATAGATAGATAGATAGATACATAGATAGATACATAGATAGATACATAGATAGATACATAGATAGATACATAGATAGATACATAGATAGATACATAGATAGATACATAGATAGATACATAGATAGATAGATACATAGATAGATAGATACATAGATAGATACATAGATACATAGATACATAGATACATAGATACATAGATACATAGATAATTTGATTTTAACTATTTTAGTAAGCTCATGGCTAGACCATTGAAATAATAATTCTAATTTAATTTCAGACGGCTACAAAAGTAGTTCCAAAACTTGCAGAAATGTTGCTGGCAGCCAGACAACGTCTGAATGAGGCTTACAACAAAGGCAACTTTTTCAGTTTCCCCGTAGAGCAATTCTATGTTAACTTCAGCATTGACACGTTGCTGTTGAGGCAACAACATGGGAACAATCTGGACTTGAAATATCTTCTCCAATCCACACCCCAGTTAAAGACATATTCTACATCTCTCGCAAGAAAGATCAAGGCCCACGGCGACAATCATCGTTTTTTTTTGGAGCACAAAGAAAATGATCTCAGAAATGCAGGCGCAGTTCTCAGCGCCTCAGAGGTCTGCCACATGAGATCTGGGATAGAGTTTTTGTACTCTGCCCTTGAAGACGTGCCGGTACTCAAATCCAAGCGTCGCTGTGTGGTGCCTTTCAGAACATGTTATGATCGGGTGTATGACTATCTGCAGGATTATGATGAGGAGTTAAAGAAATGGGCCAGTGTCTATCAATTTCTGGAAGATGACGTCACCCCCACCAATATCCCCGTTGAACACTGGTGGTGGGAAATAACAGCCCAAGACAAACCAAAGGAGGTTTTTGATTTTTTGGATTATAAGGACGTCAAATTTAATAAAGTATAATCCAAAAGTTAGTAGTTTTTTTTTTCTTCAATGCGGTAAAGACATCGTTTCTTGATTTTTTTTTAATTATATGGATAGTTAATATGAATAAAATTTTCTTATGTTTAGCTCGATTTGGTTTTCATTTATTTTGATTATATGGACATTAGAAACCACAAGTTGTGCTAAAGAATGTAGTTAAACTATTGATTAATCATGTGGAACTGTTGTAGAGGAACTCATCGAAACTTCTAGCTGACTTTGTTTCGGACTATTCCGTCAACATGGGTCCACGGTATTCCATTCCGCTAAACTGGGTTCACGAGATTCCCTTCCTCTAAACTGGGTCCACGATATTCCATTCCGCTAAACTGGACCCACGATATTCCATTTCGCTAAACTGGACTCACGATATTCCAACCGCATATGCCTCGCTCAAAACCAGCCATTTCTAAACCAGTGTTTCTTCCAGAATTTTTTCTCCCGGGGGGGGGGGGGGGAGGGGGGGCACTTGAAATTTTCGGGTCGGGCTAAAGCTTTCGGGGGTCGGAAACTGTTAAAAGTAAATTTTTTTATTAAATTCCATTTAGTTCAAGGCAACAACCACGGAAATTGACACCAGTCTGCATGTAAAAGTTTCTTTCTACACACATGTTCTGCACATGTTATACTACGCTACAAAATAGTAATAACTCGACACATTAGTGTGCATTTTTTTACGGTACTTAGGATAATCTATAAACTTCTATTTCGAAAACTTTCTTGTACTGAAAATAAAACTTTTCCAAACACGTGCATCCAATTTTTAGCATGTTGAGTTGTACTGCTCTGTTATGCACGAATAGTCATAATTAAACATGAGATCCTTACTTATGTAACAGCTGCTTCATTGTATTAGTTATCCATTTACGATCTAACATAGAACGGCATTAATTCTCCTACATAGATGAGGCCAGAAACATCAAATTAGTGATTGTACCACAGTAGCGTAGCGAGGGGGGGGGGGGACATATGTCCCCGGGCGCCGACCTTAGGGGGCGCCAAAATGGGTTTGGAAAAATAAATTGAAAGGTTGAGGGGGGCTGCAAATAGAAAGTTTGAGGGGGGGGGTGCAAATAAAAAAGTTTGTCCCCGGGCGCCGGGAAGGGTCGCTACGCCTCTGTTGTACCAACATGTATTTCAGACTCTAGTATGTTAGCGCGATTGCTGAACCAAATATAAAGGGTTCGAGTCTCTATAATGTCCCTGCAGAGGACTAGCGAGGGCGGGGGGTGCGAACCGCATCGGATGACATCATTTTAGGGGTGACACCAAGGCAAAAAATTGCAAAATGTACAGAAGAAATATGCCTTTTTGCAATTTCCATTAATGATTATTGAAAGGTAAATAGTCTTTTAAGTACAAATCGATTGTCGAAAATTATTACAACAATGTTGAGGTGACCCCATGACGTAAATGTGCTAAATATAAAGAAAACAATGCAACATCAAACTGCATTATTATGGATAAACATCGTTACTATTAAGTCTGTAGGCCGACATACAAACACACACACACACACACATTATATATATATATATATATATATATATATATATATATATTTATATATATATATATATATATATATCTGGGGGGGGGTGACACCACGAAGTGCCGCACCGGGTGACGCCCGACCTAGCGATGCCACTGTCCTCAGTCCACATCTCAATCGGGTACGTGGCCCGTAGGACGTCCACGGTCTAACCAGTTTATCTGACCCCTACCATTTTTTTCCAGACACTTAAAACTTTGGGGGTGGGGTGTGTTGGAGGAACGCTGGTGAAAGTATATATTTTCTAAACAAATTATATATTATTTCACTTCGTCTGAGGGGGGGGGGTGAGGAGGAATGCACTATGAACTGAGAACGTCCTTAGTCAATCCAGCTGTAATGTTTTTTTGACCCCTTGGATGTTCCTAAGTCCCCTCCGTTCTAATGGGTACCCCTGAGTTTACCCAGCTTTAATGGATACCTGGCAATTAACCCAGCTCTAATGGGGACCTGAGTCCAACTAGCTCTAATGAGTACCTGAGTTCATCCAGCTCTAATGGGTACCCGAGTTCAACGAGCTCTAGTGGGTACCTGGCAGTTCATCCAGCTCTAATGGGTCCCCGAGTTCACCCTGCTCTAATGGGTATCTGAGTTCAACAATTTCTAATGGGTCCCTGAGTTCAACCAGCTCCAATGGGTACCTGTCAGTTACCCAGCACTAATGTGTACCTTACAGTATTACAGTTCATCCAGCATCAATGAGTAGGCCTATATTTGTTGATTTATATTACATTAATTTAGTAAACACTTTAAAAAACCCACAAATTAACGACTAAAAATTCAGTTTCTAACATAACTTTAAAAAAATTTCTTCACACATTTTAAAGCTCCCCCTATGGACAAACTTAAGTTATATCTATGCCCTATGCCTATTTGTTTATATGTGGGGGTAAATAACCCAACCAAGTTAAAATCCAGCCTGTTTTTTATTTTTTATTTTAAATATCAATACTTTAGTGAATTGTTTAAGGTTTTGTCGCAGCTTAAGCTATGTTAAAATAGTTCTCTTTAAGACTAACTAAAATGATAGGCCTAAATGAAATATTCATCAAATTTTACATTAAGTCTAATGGATTAAAAATTAAAATAAAATAGGCTTTGTTTTTTTAAATGATATGCGAAGCGGCTCATTTTACGCATTGTCAATCACTCTGTCAAGGCAACATAATGCCAGGTAGTTTCGCAGTTTAAGAAGAAAAATCTCACTGCTTGCAAATTTGAGATGTCGAAAGATAATTAAAATACATTAAATTAGTTTCGTTCGTTTAGCAGTACAATTTTTTAAATTGTTAATAACCTTGACCCTGCAGTGCATATCCTGTTGCAGGCGAATTATCAACACTGTCCCTTTCCGCCTAGATTATCCTGTATTTATTTTTGTACGTAAAGAAATTATGTACTAAATCTAGATCTAGATCTATTTAGATATAGATCTATTTGAATTTAATATTTATCGACCTTAATAACATTTTACTACAAAAGTATAGTATTTTCTGCTGTTGGGCTTTGGTAAATGCATGTGTTGAGCTGTGACAGTCAGTGTCACCATCTGACATCAGTCAGTCCCCCATCTAAAAAAAAAAGAAAAATGATAGGCCTAGAGTCTATCTAAAAGTATCTATGGCCTTACTTAGATATAGATCTATATTCTAGATTTAGGACTTTTTTTTTTTAAAGTTATTAAAGTTTAAGCTTGGGGTAAAACTCCATTTTAGCGTATTTTATTCCCCACTTCACGTTCTGTCGTTCACCTCCGCCGGAGGCTCCGGTTGAGCTATTTTATTATTTATAAACTAAAAAAAATATAAACACAACCAAAACACACTAAAAAAATGTTAGGAAAAAACTAGGATTAGACGATAGATTTAGTTAGACGTATAGGGCCTAGATAGATCTAGATCTGCTTACTGCTTATGTTTTTATGAATGTGTGTTTTAATTAGTAATTAGAAAAGTTAGGCCTAAAAAAAGACCATATAAATATATATAAATAATAATTTAAATAAAGGCCTACAGCTCCAATTTAATTTTAAATAGTAATAGCATCTGATCGTCATAGGGAAAAATCCCTACATGGTAAAGGGTTCATCGTGAGTACACATTAACTTGAGTTAATACAATAATTATCAGCATACATGATACGTCAAAGCTTAGGATCATTGTGAGATCATATAAGTTTATTTATAGTATCAGGCGTGCAATACTTTTTACAATACAAACTTAACTTTACCGAATGCCATGAAATCTTAACTGACTCAAACATATTTTCAAGAGAAAAAAAAGCTAAATCTAGATATCTAGATCTAAATAGTGCACAATCAATATTCCAAATTCGGATTTTTCTCAAGTTTTGACAAAATTAAATTATCAAAAACTGTAACAAAAATGCATAAAGAAATAGGCCTAGTGTTTTAGTTTTCCTAACATTTTTGTGTTTTGGTTGTGTTTATAATACTCGGAACTGGAGGTGAACGTGAAGCGGGGAATAAAATACGCTAAAATGGAGTTTTACCACTTTGTAGTTTGGTATAGGTCTAGAATTCTAGATCTACTTCTAAATTCAAATCTAGATTCGGATCAAATAAAATTATTCTAGATCTAGAGTTCTAGATCTAATTCTAACAGACTAATATTAACTTTCTTAACTAGATCTAGATTTAAATTTCACAGAGACTTCGCAGAATGCTTGCCATTTACGAGTATTTTTTTAACTCTGTAGGACACATTATTCTAAAAGAAGACATGATAAATACTATTCAATATTCCAAACGTAACAAATAAACTCTAATTTAGATCTAGTGCTAGATAATCTACTTTAGTATTAATAGTAGCCTATAGAAAGGTTCTAATACTAATATTTAGGCCTTCTTTATAATTAGGCCTTATAAATTATGTTTGGAATTATGATAGACCCATATTTCATACTAGATTCTATAGATTTATCTATTTTAGGCATACAGTAAGAAAAGTTGATCATCTACAATCTAGATTCTATACTTTTCTTTTTTTTTTAAACTGTGCCTACCTTTTGCTTTAAAATAATACTTTAATTCAACATTGAACTGCTAAGACGAAAAAAATCAGGCAGCCCTAATGCCTATTTTGAGATTGCGTTTGATCTGAAGAACAATTTGGAGAACTCACGGTTCATGCAAATGTGGCCTTAAAATTTCTTCCTTAGGTTTTTTGATGTTTTATCTGTTTGCCACTGCTATGGACTACTACTGCTACTTTTGTAATTAAGTTTTTACTATGTAAAAATGTATCCACATTTTTCTTAATAGTCCTACTTAATTTAATTCAAGCTTGATAGAAATTTTCCATTTCAGAAAAGATGTAGCTGAACCTTAAGATGACACAAATTATTGAAGGAAAGCATCTTCAGTGGTTGTTTAAAATCAGACCAAGAGAATGAGTTGGTTTAAACGGTCGGGTGAACGCAAGTCACCTGAGTCCTCAACACAACGTTCAGACACTGATCCCAACACATGTCTTGAAGTATTTCAGAACCACTGGAAACAAGTAAAGTTGACAATTTTAAAAGTTATTTGTTATCATCTTAAAATACTTTTCAGATCAAGTGTAAAATGCTGACATATAAACTAGAATATTCTAACTACATTTAAAAAAAAAATTGTTCACAATGAAGCTTTTGTTCTCCTTAACATGCTAATATTAATCACTTTGTGAAATGAAATTGCTGTGTAACAAGGGTAAAGATATATCAACAAATTTATTGACCATTTTACTTCAGTGGATTTAGAAAAAAAATGATGTAAAAAATGCAATGAACAAAGTTAGAATAGTCTTGTTCTTGGGAAGTGATATTTATCTCTAGCTCTTTAAACCCAATATTAAAACCTTTGAAAGTATTGTTAATTCTTACCTCAAGCTATTTGTTTGCTACCATACAGTAGTATAATTAAAAATAAAAGATTAAATAATATAATATAATGCAATTTTCATGATGTCACCAAAGTATGTTTTTCCAAAAGTATATTAGATTTGCTATTTGCTATATACACTTATATATTGCTATCCAATAACATTTCTATTATGTTTTAATTTATTTGTTTGCAGGCTTGCGCTGTTATAAACTATCAAGATAAGAAGTCCAAACTCTCCCCTGGCCAAGCAACTGTAGATGGTGTTGAGACAGTTTTGAGTAATTTGGAACATATGGTCACACTTCTAGTTAATGAAGATGATGATGGGGGCTTGCCAGGTAGGTTTAATATAATTAGAATACACTTTTGTCTACTAATTCAAAGTTTTTAACTATTCTAATTTGTTATTATTTTCATTATATCAGACTACTTTTATTTTTAAACAGGTCCTATCCTGAAATGGGTGCTAGCTTCAGATCTTTTTGAAATATTTTGCTCCTGGTGCACTATTAACGTATCAATTCATGAGCGATTACGATTGCAACAACTTCGACTTTTTGAGCTCATCATTAGCCAATCAAAGCAGCTTTTACTGGTACATAAACCTGTGATCAAGCCGTTACTTAGGCTGCTTATGGATGTGGCTGACTCACAAGGTATTGAGCTATTTTGTGTACCAGCTCATAAAACATTGTTAACTGATTCTTAAGAAAAATCCCTAGCTTTTCTGTGACTTCGAGAAGATCTGATTAATTGTTTTGGCATTTCAAAACTAAAAACTAGTTTTAGCTCCATCATCATAGCTGCCATATTTATGAAAAAATCATTTTTGTTTATTGATAGCTAAATTTAAACGATGAGTTTTTACTGAAAACATAAAATTACTGTTTTACGGTTACAACCCGTCAACATAAAAAAAACCCAAATAATAATGTTAACTCAAAACTATACTTAAGTATATAAAATTGTAACTAGTTATTATACATTTTGTAGTGTTTCTGATTTAGCCAACTCAGATGGCATGGCAGTTTAATGAAACTTTGATACCTGGAAAAGCCCCCATTAATGTAGGATGGGTAATTGGACATGAACAAATATTTATAACAATTATGATAAGTACATTTTTAAAAATTTGAATTGTAGTATCACAATTTTAAGAACTATTTCAAAATATTTCAGAAATCAGTAATGGTGAGCTAGAGTTCAAGTTGGTCCTGGTCCTTCATCAGATATGTATATGCATTTCTCAGCAAGCTCTTATACTGGAGAGTTTTTTCAGGTAAGATTTTTAGGAGTTTGTAGAAAACAGGCAGGAAAATAAAAATAGTATTGTGTTTTTCTTATAGGTATGGCTATAAGTATAAGGTTCAAGATGAGGGGAGTGATAGTAGCAATAATAATCTTAATCATGTCTTTCCAATGTTTTAATAACTGTTGTTTGTTGTAACCTTTAAAAGTTATAGAACTTTGTAGTTGAGCAATAAAACTTAACGTGGGACAGCAAGGCTCAAGCGTACGTAGAGTGCTAAGCTGCTTATCCAGCTGTGATGAGTATCTAAATCACGTTAGGGAAAGTAAAGGCGACTGGATAAAGTGCTGACGGCACCTTCCCTTCATATGCCAAGGTCACGAAACATTTGAACTCTACTTCATTTGCCCAATAGATAGCTAGGTCTAAAGAGGATTCTTTACTTACTATGAGAAACTAGACGCAGGAATATCCCGTGGACTAGCTGCATCAAAGCTTGCTGCAATGTGTTATTCTAAAAACTTAACATAGAAACATTTTTTTCAACTCAACAGTACAGATACAGACCATGGGCCAGCAAGGTTCCTGATTTTCTCTCTTTTAATACCGTACATCCATCGGGAGGGATCAGTAGGACAGCGGGCCAGGGATGCTCTGCTCCTCATTATGACGTTGTCAGCAAGGCATCCCCACATAGGTCAATACATCGCCAACAACTCTGACTTTTGTCCGGTAAGTGTCCTCCCCATTAAATAGAAGTAGTACTGAAGTTCAGTTATATTTACCATTTTAAAACCTGAACAGTTTGAGCCTCTAAGGGACAGTGTGGATTGTGCTGAGCATAGAGTTCTGTTTCAGGCTTGGTCTGTCGAACATCCCTTAATACACCCAGCTATGATGGGTACCTGGCATGAGTTGAGTAAATAAAAGCAGATATAAGCAGTCATGTGAATTTTCGTACTCCTGATTTACATGCATATCTGTGTAATACTTTTCATTCACAATCATCTCTTTAATGTTGTTTCTTTTTGACTGAATAATCTACAGATAATTGTCATTTACAACATTATTTACATCATTATTTCCCAAGTTTAAATAAACTATAATGGTACAGCCACCATCATCCAAGCTCATTGTAATGTACTGCTAAAGGATGCCTGTTAGTGGTAAACTGATCCAATTCCTGACATCTCCAGTCACACTTGCAGCTCTTTGGTTTGTTGCACTATCTTAAACCGTAAAATCACAATGGTGCTTTTCACTACAATATGGATTCTACATGCTTAGTTTTTGAAGATAACCTTTAAAAAACATCTGTTCTTCTGCCACCAGGTATTGGCAACTGGCCTCAGTGGTCTGTATTCCTCACTGCCCAGAAGAATCAACCCTCCCTCAGATGACTGGTACACTATAACACGTGAGGATTGTGTCAGGATCCCTGACTTGCAGATGTTCCTAAATTCTTTACAGTTTTCCAATGCTGTTGTGCAGGTACAGTTTTTAATTTAACATCACAAGGTGGTCATATTTGACCTGCAAAGTTTTCATCAACTCTAAAATTAATCTTAAGAGTAGCATTCTTTTTATTGATGTTATTTAATTTTCATTCAAGATAGGTATTCTTTTTACCTTTCAAATGAAGCTTTTTTTTTTAAGATTTTAAATTTAACATTGAAAAGTAAAACAAAAATGCAATTTTTTCTCAATTTAAAAAAAAAACCGATGGTTTGATTATTAATTAAATATTACACTTTGTGTCCACAGATAGCGCACCCACTAGTGAGAGACCAGCTAATCCACTTTATTTACTCTGGTTTTTTAGTTCCTGTTTTAGCCCCCGCCTTACATCAGGTATGTTGTAGTTCTCTATGTAGCAACTGGGATAAAGATGATACTGTTTCTCTAAAACTATAAGATAGAGATGATTTTGTGTTTCTCTGTAATATCTTGATTAGAAATGTTAATGTGCCTCTCTCTCTTAAGTTACTATTCAAATAGGGAGGATTATGTACATCTATGTAACTACTGGGAACTGATGATGTTTCCCTACTAAAGTACTAGCGTAGTTATGATATAACTTCCTCTATATATATCCTGTTATTGAGATTATATGTTTCTATCTGCAAATTAAGGGATTGGTATAGTCTGTCTTTAGGGATAGAGACAACAATTTGTTTTTCTTTAATAATGTTGATGCAGTCTAAATGCAATTTTCTTGTGGGCAGCATAGTCTGTGTATTTTATTTTTTGCTTCTATTTCTTCACAAATCAGAGCAAGAAAACAAACTTGTAATAAATTAGTGACCGGCAAGAATTTTTTACCCTCAAATGAAACCACACAATTTTAATTAATACATTTTTAAAGGTTCTTTGATATGTTTGTAGCTGCTGTTTAGAATACTATTATTGCAGTATGGTTTTGTTAGGTCTTTTGACTGTTAAACTTGTGTATCAACTTCAGGATATACCTGGCCTTCCGATCCCCTTGCTAGATACAGATTTATTTGGGGTTAGTAAAGCTTGCCATATTTAACTGGTGTGTGTTTGGGTGCATTGTGATGTAGCTTTATAGTTTTCTGCTGGTTTCTCTGCACAATAGCCCTAGATATGACAAATCATGTTCTGTTTTGGTTTTCAGTATTTCTGTATTTTTTTTTCTCACTATTTTTATTTATTTGAGATTTTTCTAATTGTGATGATGCAAACACATGTTAAAAATGAGAAAAGTATTGGCCTATTTTTTTTTAAAGAGCAAATTTTAAACACATCTGTTATGGCTTATCTTTTCAAATATTTTGTCACTAATTGTTTGGATGTGTTGAGATAATTTCATTCCAGAGCAAATTGAAACACACCAGTTATGGCTTACCACTTCAAATACTTTAGTACTAATTATATGGATAAGTGTTAAGGCATTTTTATCTAAGAGCAAAAAGTATACATCATTTAAGTCTTACCATGTGTTTTGAAAACCTGATTACTTATGATGTGGATTTTGCTAGGGGCATTGAAACAAAGCTTGAAACCTTAAGGTTTATGATTATTTTTTATTTTTTGCTTTATGGCTCAGAATTTTCTTTTACTGTGCATAGGCATAGTAGCTATGTAAAAGAAGGTATGTTAATGACCAAAATTGTTTGTGAAGGAAGCACAGTATTAATACAAAAGTGTCTTCCACATTTAATTTGCATTAACAATCTTTTTTTTTTCTCAGCTAATTAAACTCTTTTTTCCTTTTCTGTTTTTTGTATGTGTGATAAAGTATTGCATTTATGACTCACAAATGAGCCAGATCAATTTGTTTCTTTGCTTGGCTCCTGCTTGTTTATATTTCTTTAAATATTTACTAAATGTTCATTATTTGATGTGACATCCTTTTTGAAAAAAAAATATTTAGTGATATGTATTTCACAACATTTTAAAACTTTATGCTTGCTTTGGAAGCACATTTTCCGAGTGTTTATAATAACAAATTTAGTGTTTTCCTTCCTGCACACAACAAGCAGCTAATTGCTTAGATCTTTTGTGTCTGCTTTGTGAATATGGTCTGGTCTTTATGTTCATTCTGTGAATTGTTCTAATCTGCATACTCATTTTGTTAATTGTTCTGATTTTTATGTCCAGTCTGTGGTTTGTTCTGGTCTGTATACTTGTTTTGTTAATTTTTCTTGTCTCTTTGTTAATTTTTATAGTTTGAATAGTTCCGATCTGTATGCTCATAGTGTGAATAGTTCCAATCTGTATGCTCATAGTTTGAATAGTTCCAATCTGTATGCTCATAGTGTGAATAGTTCCAATCTGTATGCTCATAGTTTGAATAGTTCCAATCTGTATGCTCATAGTGTGAATAGTTCCAATCTGTATGCTCATAGTTTGAATAGTTCCAATCTGTATGCTCATAGTGTGAATAGTTCCAATCTGTATGCTCATAGTTTGAATAGTTCCAATCTGTATGCTCATAGTGTGAATAGTTCCAATCTGTAGGCTCATAGTTTGAATAGTTCCAATCTGTAGGCTCATAGTTTGAATAGTTCCAATCTGTATGCTCATAGTTTGAATAGTTCCAATCTGTAGGCTCATAGTTTGAATAGTTCCAATCTGTATGCTCATAGTTTGAATAGTTCCAATCTGTAGGCTCATAGTTTGAATAGTTCCAATCTGTAGGCTCATAGTTTGAATAGTTCCAATCTGTATGCTCATAGTTTGAATAGTTCTAATCTGTATGCTCATAGTTTGAATAGTTCTAATCTGTAGGCTCATAGTTTGAATAGTTCTAATCTGTAGGCTCATAGTTTGAATAGTTCTAATCTGTATGCTCATAGTTTGAATAGTTCTAATCTGTAGGCTCATAGTTTGAATAGTTCTAATCTGTAGGCTCATAGTTTGAATAGTTCTAATCTGTAGGCTCATAGTTTGAATAGTTCTAATCTGTAGGCTCATAGTTTGAATAGTTCTAATCTGTAGGCTCATAGTTTGAATAGTTCTAATCTGTATGCTCATAGTTTGAATAGTTCTAATCTGTAGGCTCATAGTTTGAATAGTTCTAATCTGTAGGCTCATAGTTTGAATAGTTCTAATCTGTAGGCTCATAGTTTGAATAGTTCTAATCTGTAGGCTCATAGTTTGAATAGTTCTAATCTGTAGGCTCATAGTTTGAATAGTTCTAATCTGTAGGCTCATAGTTTGAATAGTTCTAATCTGTAGGCTCATAGTTTGAATAGTTCTAATCTGTAGGCTCATAGTTTGAATAGTTCTAATCTGTATGCTCATAGTTTGAATAGTTCTAATCTGTAGGCTCATAGTTTGAATAGTTCTAATCTGTAGGCTCATAGTTTGAATAGTTCTAATCTGTAGGCTCATAGTTTGAATAGTTCTAATCTGTAGGCTCATAGTTTGAATAGTTCTAATCTGTAGGCTCATAGTTTGAATAGTTCTAATCTGTATGCTCATAGTTTGAATAGTTCTAATCTGTAGGCTCATAGTTTGAATAGTTCTAATCTGTAGGCTCATAGTTTGAATAGTTCTAATCTGTATGCTCATAGTTTGAATAGTTCTAATCTGTAGGCTCATAGTTTGAATAGTTCTAATCTGTAGGCTCATAGTTTGAATAGTTCTAATCTGTAGGCTCATAGTTTGAATAGTTCTAATCTGTAGGCTCATAGTTTGAATAGTTCTAATCTGTAGGCTCATAGTTTGAATAGTTCTAATCTGTAGGCTCATAGTTTGAATAGTTCTAATCTGTAGGCTCATAGTGTGAATAGTCTAACCTCCATGTTCACTTTGCACATTGTTCTGGCCTGTATGTTCATTCTGTGAATGGTTCTATTCTTGAATCTTTATCTGTGCAACTCTGTACATCCCCTCAGTTCATTTCCTCAGTTCATTTCCTCAGTTCATTAGTGTTTTTTCTCTCTGTTCTATGTCCTGTGTTTTTCACTCATTTTATTTTCTTTCCCTTTTTTTATTACATTTTCTTTTGATATATTCATTCACTTCATTTTCTGTACTACATACACTAAATTTTCATTCCACTTTTACTTAAGTTAATGTTTGGCTTCTGGTGTGGTGAATGACATGTTCTCTAATTACTTTATCTTGACTCAGTGATGATGTTTTCTTACTACTTTACATTGACTCAGATGACATATCCCATCATTACTTTATGTTGACTCTGTAAATGATATGTTCTCTAATTACTTTATCTTGACTCAGTGATGATGTTTTCTTACTACTTTACATTGACTCAGATGACATATCCCATCATTACTTTATGTTGACTCTGTAAATGATATGTTCTCTAATTACTTTATCTTGACTCAGTGATGATGTTTTCTTACTACTTTACATTGACTCAGATGACATATCCCATCATTACTTTATGTTGACTCTGTAAATGATATGTTCTCTAATTACTTTATCTTGACTCAGTGATGATGTTTTCTTACTACTTTACATTGACTCAGATGATATGTCCTGTCATTACTTTATGTTGACTCTGTAAATGACATGTTCTTTATTTACTTTATCTTCACTCCGTGATGATGTTTTCTTACTACTTTACATTGATTCTGATGACACGTCCTGTCATTACTTTATGTTGACTCTGTAAATGACATGTTCTCTAATTACTTTACCCTGACTCCGTGATGATGTTTTCTTACTACTTTACATTGATTCTGATGACACGTCCTGTCATTACTTTATGTTGACTCTGTAAATGACATGTTCTCTAATTACTTTACCCTGACTCTGTGATGATGTTTTCTTACTACTTTACATTGACTCTGATGACACGTCCTGTCATTACTTTATGTTGAATGATATGTTCTCTAATGACCATTGATGACGCACACAGATTTCTAGAGAAGAAGTCATGACAGCCACAGCCTACCTGGACCTGTTCATCAGGCATGTCACAGACCCCCATCTACTGAGGGCCACCCTCAAGTTTATCCTGACTGAGAGATATGATGATATCCTGATATTGGACTCTCTTTTACAGAGGATACACTCAAACTCACATGTATGTATTGTTTTCAAAATTTTGCTGAATAATTTTTAGGTTATTATTTTTTTCTTTTAAAGCTTTGGATTGAATTAAGTCATGAGCTCTCAACAGTAACTGATGAAAAATTAATTGTCCAATTTATAAAATAGTGTTTTCATTAAAACATTTTTAATTTTTTTTTTTTTTTACTTTTGTCTCCAGTGTAAGCGATAATAAAATAATCGTCTAATGTTTAAAATATTGATTTCATTAAAAAAAAAAAGTTTTAAGCCTTTTATTCTGACTTTAATCTCCAGTTATCAACAGTCACCCTTGCTTTGTTCCATACTTTGATTGATCTCAATTGTGAAGATGTTATGTTTCAACTTGTCTTTAGGTAAATACATTTGAATTGTCAAATATCTGTTTCATCTTGTCTTTTCCCCCCAATAATTCTAATTATTATTATGATTTAAATTGTCAACACAATTAATTATATAGAGTCACTCAAAACGTGTAAACAATTTTTATTTACAGTACTAGATAATAGTTTCTGATATTACATTACTAATTTTGTTTTTTGTATTTAATTTTGTTTCCACATCGTTTTATCATATATTTATCATATAATGAGTTTTGTTATTGCATAACAATATATATGATCACTTGTTGATATGTTATTAAATAGTGACATTTTGAATTCAACATGTTAGTTGCTCTTTCTTAAGTATTATTTTCTCTCAGATACCTTGTGATTATATAAGGATATTTATTGATCTCAGAACTAATGTTTTTGAATACTTCTTATATTAGCACATGATTTGTTCTGATTAAAGTATTATTTTCCCTCTCAGATACCTTGTGCCTTGTAACCATGTGATGGTCAGCCAGCGCCGGTCTATTCAAGACCTTGACCTGTACGGCAAGTCAGCGGAGAAGTTCCTGTCCCTCAGGCCATCTTGCTGTGTCCAGACCTTGCCACACAATCCGCTCCCTGTTTCTCCCGCCCCCACATCTCAAGTTGTTGGCATGACAACAGGACCCCCAACACAAAAGTAACATTTTTATCCTGTTTAAAACTTGCTAGTTGATTTATTGCTTGTTTGATTTAAAACAAGAAAAAATATGGATTAACTGGACTTCTATGATAGTATTCAGTGTAGCTATTTTTATTTTGAGATCATTAAGCTTTGCCTTCTCTTAGTTAAGTTTCAAACATTAAACATATTTAAACTTTAAAAAAAAAATCACACTGAACAACTTTTCATCACTTTTTTCTACATTTAAATTTCGAATAGTGTATTTTATCTGTTTTACTCATGTTTAAACGCTGAAAAACAATGTATTTTATATGCATATTAAATTCATCTCTTCTATTCACTTTCAAACAAAAACTAATGTAACCATGCAAGCATCAGGCAGGAGTACATAACTAGTCAAATTTTGATTGCAGTCATTAATTAGTTGGTACAATGCAGATTACATTTACCCATCCTTTTGTTGCCGTCAAAGATTAACTAATTTTTCTTTTGCCAAACTGTGATTATGTCATAGTTAATGTCAAACGTGTTATTTTATAAATTATTAGAATTTAAAAATTAGGTTAGTGATTTAATTAGTTAATTGCTTAATAATTAATTCCTGTTCTCAGATCTACAACCACAACATCCTTACCAAACATGATTACCTCCCCTGACCAAGTACCCAACCATCAGAGAGGGGAGACAAGCTACTTTGAATATCTGAATGATGCTCGTAACAAGCTGGAACAGACAGTCAAAGCATGCCAACACTGGACCTACCTGTATGATGGTGAAAGTCCCCCTCCTGACAGCATCAAAAATAGCCAGACAAAACCCAAAGCCAGTGCAGCAAAGGCTTCTAATATACCAAAGACCGGTTACATTGAGCTTGGTTCTATAGCTAAACAAACACAAGAAGAAAAAGTAACACCGAGAAGTTCTCAGCCTGCGGATTCATCTGATTCTAACGATATTAGTTTAAGTAAAGAAATCAATGTTAAACATGAGAATAACAAGCTGATGAACGCTGTGCTGTATTCAAGCCTAGAGGACCTGGACAGCTTTATCAAGTATCTGAGTGAAGTTGAGGTTGACGAGGGTGGGTCAGTCTCAGTGTCCGAAAGCTTGGCCTCGCTGGAAGACTTGTTGCAGGCTGTTTCGTCAGCCAGAAACAGGAGAAACAGCCCTGACCCCCACAGCCGGTCAAGTAACCCACCTGAAGTCTCCGCCACCGTTGACTCCGCTGGTGTCCCTGGTAGCAAGCCTAGCCCTGTAGACACCCGTGGTGTGCCTAAAGACTTGCCCACAAGTCCCCGCCCCACCCTTCATGGTTTGTCCACCTCCCCCATGAAGCAGACGCTGAGCCCAGGGGAGGTGTTGTCCCCGTACAAGTCACTGTTCTTCGCTGCCGATGAATTTGCCGCAGCTATGCCAACAAGTCCCAGAAAGCAGCTAACCTATTTCAATGATCCCCCAAATATAGGTAAGTTTTCATAATGTCTGTCTGTGTCTTTGTGGCCAAGTTTTGTAAATCAGTTTTGACCCACTTCTAATGCAGCGATTTTCATAAATTTTTTTATCAATGACAATGTAACTAACTAATTTTCAAACTAATTTAATTACTAAAGTATCCTCTTTAGACCTAGTGATCCATTGAGCAGATGAAGTAGAGTTCATATGTTTCTTAACCCTGACATATGAAGGGCCACCTTTACTTTCCCTAACATGAGTTAGCTACCTGAGTACTCAGGGCCATTTTACTGCAATGAACCCAGATTTGAACTCGAGACTTTCGGGTTAGCAGCCTAGCTCTCTGCCTCTAGGCCACACCGTATCCCGACTAGTAAAATGGTGATTAATAGTTTTCACATCTGAGCCCCCACCACAGACATTAATAAGAGGCAGATAATTGTTGCATAGAGTTCAGCTTGCAATAACAAGCTTTTAAATGGCTCTATACACAAAAAAATAAAGCAAACTTTCCTTTACAAGTTTCAATGTTGGTCATTCATGAAATCTCTGACCTGATAAAAATTTGGCTTTCTAGGTTTCTGAATTAAATATAAACTTATGTTTTAAACCTTTACTGTAAAAAAAAAATTACTGCTTAAAATATTTTTAATAACTGCATATGCTTGAGTAAAACACTATTTTTTTTACTGACCAGGTCCATTTCTTGGTGCCTTGTTCTCTAGACTGGAGCTGATGATCAGCAACTCCCTGTACTTCAACCTGCTGCTGACTGACATCATTGCCAGACTGGCAGCTTACCCACAGCCTTTGTTGCGCTCCTTTCTTCTCAACAACACTTTAGTCTTTCAGCCTACTGTCAAGTCCCTTATACAGGTTACAGTTTTGTAATTTTAGACCTTGTTTTGTTGTTTTTTGATGTTGAATGTCTTTTTCGTGTAACTTGAAAATCAAACTAGCTTTGTTATTTCTTTGAAATTTAAAAAAAATGTATAAAGCACCCTATTTCATTGGCCTTGGCATATATTGGGATTGTGTAGTCAGCATTATGCCCAACTGCCTTTAATTTACTCAACTCAAGTCAGTTCCCAGTGAAAACTTAAGTTCTATGACATTGTGCTTAGGTACTTAAATCGAGACATTGTGGTTTGCAAGCATGTACTTTACCACCTGAGCACACCTTCCCATAGTGTCAAAATCAATCAATCATCCCTTAACCCTTATTTTAGTTGTTGGAGTGCCACTGTCTTGGTCCTCTACTTCACTGAGTAACTGCAACAGGCAGCCCAGTTCAATCTGTGATGTCTTCTTCTTCTCCCTCTAGGCACATTGTCTTGAATTATTGTTTGAAAAATTTGTCATCGCACCTTAAGTAAATTGTTGTGCCTATATACTCTTCATATAATGAACCATGTGAATTGAATTTACAGGTATTATCCTCACTAAGGCAGAAGCTGGACAGCTTCTCCCTCAGTGTGAAACAGTTTGATATGATGGTGGTCAATGCCAGACAAAACCTGGTCCAGCGCGAGGATCAGCTGTTCCATTTCTTTGAGCAAGGGGTCCTTGGCATCCCTCCCACCCTTTTAATGATGCCGCAGGGGGTGAAGACCAGAGCTGACACCATTGGTGCTTTAGTTCCAGCAAAAGGTGAGCGCCTGGTGTTTTGGTGTCATAACGGGTACACCTGTCAGTACACAGCCCCCCGCCTCTCCACCCTTGTCACATTACTGCTGATATCTGTAATTAAATATTTCTGAAAAGAAGCAATTTTTTAAAGAATTTTCTATTTTCTTGGAGTATTACATTGTTTAAATAGTATAAAACTCTTTTTCTGCTTTCAAAAAAAGTTTCTATTTGTTAGTAAAGAGATATATATTAATGATTTTTTTTCAAGAAAATCAGAAGCGCATTAAGTTTTTGCAAAAAAAGCATAAAATAATTCAAAATTCAACCAATAAATGAAAAACAAAGAAGCATAATTACAAATTGAGAAGAACAAAATAATTCGTTTCAAAATGTGGATTTAAACATTAATTTGACTTTCAGATAAGCAAAAGGTTAAGTCACTCAAATACTGTTAATACTTAATACATTTAACTCAGTGTTGTGAGTGATGTTTCAGATAAGAAAAAGGTCACACTCAGTGAACTGTTCTTCAGGCGATCCCCAGGGAAGGGAAAACTTGTGGCTGGGTCCAAACATCATCAGCTGCAGCGTGTACAGGTCAGAGGTCATGTGTGTCATGTGACTGTTGGTTTCTATCATGTTAAAGGTTATGTTATTGTTGGTTTTTGTGTTGTCAAAGATCATGTGACTTGTGGTTTTTGTGTTGTCAAAGATCATGTGACTTTTGGTTTTTGTGTTGTCAAAGATCATGTGACTTGTGGTTTTTGTGTTGTCAAAGATCATGTGACTTGTGGTTTTTGTGGTGTCAAAGATCATGTGACTTGTGGTTTTTGTGTTGTCAAAGATCATGTGACTTGTGGTTTTTGTGTTGTCAAAGATCATGTGACTTGTGGTTTTTGTGTTGTCAAAGATCATGTGACTTGTGGTTTTTGTGTTGTCAAAGATCATGTGACTTGTGGTTTTTGTGTTGTCAAAGATCATGTGACTTGTGGTTTTTGTGTTGTCAAAGATCATGTGACTTGTGGTTTTTGTGTTGTCAAAGATCATGTGACTTGTGGTTTTTGTGTTGTCAAAGATCATGTGACTTGTGGTTTCTCTGGTGTCAAAGATCATGTGACTGTTGGTTTCTATCATGTTAAAGGTTTATGTTATTGTTGGTTTTTGTGTTGTCAAAGATCATGTGACTTGTGGTTTTTGTGTTGTCAAAGATCATGTGACTTGTGGTTTTTGTGTTGTCAAAGATCATGTGACTTGTGGTTTTTGTGTTGTCAAAGATCATGTGACTTGTGGTTTCTCTGGTGTCATAGATCACGTGACTCTTCGGTTTTCTTGTTAGTTTCTGCAGTCACATAAGTTATGTGACTTCTTACCTCTACAGTGTCAAAGGTCATATGCATATTGTTGAATAAAGTATTGATTGTAACATTTAATAAAAAAAGTCCTGTTTAAACCCTATTAATTTACAAACATCTACCTAGAAGCTGTTGTCTTAAAGCCCTAGCACTCACCATTGTGGCCATACTAGATTAACAAGGGGCTGACTACTTCCAATGACATTTTGTTTTTGCTTCCAAGCAGGTTGGAGGAACAGCAGCTTACCGTTACATCAGCCCTCAGGACTATGCTGGCTCGGGCGACCGGTCAAGCATAGGGGACAGTTACGGTCAGTCGCTGACCACATGGAATGCTGTGTACTGCGCGCTCATCCTGGATGAGTTTCTCAAAGAGCTGGCAGCGCTCTCCCAGGAGCATTCAGTTTTACATGTAGACGAGGGCTACCTGAGTAGCTGATCCACAGGTAGAGCTTTCCCAGGTGTGGGTCAAGTTTACCTGAGTATTTGATCTACAGGTAAATTTTATCTTCGATGGATGTAGACAGAAGATTATCTACTGGACTGGACTATGATGTTTCATCATTTAACCAGTAAACGAGGGAGAATTAACAAGGGAGAATTAATGAGGGATATATCGATGTATATCTTTGCATTTTAGTCCTGCTGTGTTCACTCCATTAGTAGCTAGCCAGTAGCCAAGTCTACTCTTAGCTTCTGTAATCTAGTGAAGTTTATTTTTTTTTTTTTTACAATTTTTAAAAGTATGTTAGCTATTATTATTTTTCATTTTTTTCGCTTCTAGGTACTTAATTTGTAGCAATTAGTCAAATTATCAATATATTCTAGTCCAGTTAAAATTTTTTTTTACTCTTAACTTTTGGCCAAAGGCCTGCTAAATCTTCACTGTACCACAGTATTTGTGCCTCTCTTTGTTCTCAAATGTGTAGATGTTTCACAGAGGTACATGTGTGTGTAAACCTAGGTCATTTCAAGACTTTCATTTCATTCATTCATCTGTTTTTAATCTGCTTCTGTGGACATTTTAAAAATTCTTTAAATTGTGTAATTTACCTTGGAAGTTTCAAGTGTACATTTATAAAGTTAATGTCATGTTAGTCAATGTTGTATTACTTACCTTTGAAGTTCCAAGTATATTTTTTTAAAGTTAATGTCATGTCAGTTGGTGCAGCAGTGAACAAATAATCACTTTAAATAAAATTGTAAGCATCAGGATAAAGATTAACATGTAACTTGGTGCCTAATTGTTGAAAGTGCCTAGCTAAGACATTCAACTCAATCAAAAAGTGTGGATATTGTGTGTATGTGGGTCTCATGACTGAGTGTGGTTGTATATGTATATATTGTATTTATGTGGTTGTCGGCATCTTTATGTGTTGGTGTTTTGTTGGTGAACAAATGCTGTATTTGTAATTCAAATTTTAAAGAAATTCAAATTTTTATTGGAAAAAAAATCTTTGTGAAATGAAATTTTTATGAAATGTATTTGACATGTTTAATGAAACATTTTTAATCCGCGATCTTCTTTAATTGTGTATACTTTTTCATATAGTGCATGTTTTTTAGAGCATTTTCTAATCATGGTTATCTTTTAATGGGGGTGTCCTTAAAGTTTTTCTTTTCTTCAATACATATTTATTTTAAAATGAAATTATAATCATTATAATTTTAAAATTTAGTTATTTACAACAAAGTTTTTATATTAAAATGTTGCTGGTTTTAAATGAAGATTAGAAAACTTGAACATGAAAATCCTCTTGAGAGAATTGCAGTCTGGTGTTAAAATTCTTACAATAGGGCAATTATCCTGCATAGCATTACATGAAATTTTTAATATAAATTTAATACAGTTCAAGATTTCCTTATAGCTTTCTTCAAAGTTATAAGATGCATGATCATCTATTTTAAGCTAATTATCTCTGTTATGTTTTTCTGTATGGATTTGTTTTGTTTCATGAAATAGTTTTGTTGTTTTATAATTCCTGGACTGGTGATTGCCTTATTCTAAATGGTTAGTGTAGCAAACATCTGCTCTTGTAGAAACTTTGTAAACATGTTTGGACATTGTATGACTGTAACTATTCTTGTTTATTTATCACTGTACATTTTTGTTTTATTCAATCACAAGGCTGTGCATTGTTCCGTTCAAGTTTGGCTGGTTTTTCTTTTTCTGTGCCAAATCATGTTTTAGTATTTTCTTTGGATTTTATATGTAAAGGTGATTTTCACATGGTCACAATTTTAAATTTATAATCTACCCCTTCACTTGTTATAACCCACATCACATCAGCAGTTATCAACGATTTATTAACAATATAACCTACAAAAAAAATCCATAATCTGCAACATTAATTTCATATAATCCACTGCACAACTACAACTAGTTATCAACAATGTAATTTACACTTATTTGCAACATTACTTTCTTACATGTAGTCCACACCAACTTTCCGATAATCCACATCCCAACTTTCCATAATCCATAATCCCCATCCAAACTTCACTTTAACTCTGTCTCCAATCTCCTTGTTAATCTACCTTAATCTTCTTCAACATCCACAACATCCTTGCCTCTACACTACATTATGAATTGACTATTAGTAAAATTGTAAACTCAGATATCTCCATGAAAACCAAAGATACTTGGCTAATCTAGTATTAGTTCCTCCTATGTTCTCTAAAGCTATCCCACACACCACCTGCTTCAAACCACAGTTTTATCTTACAGGCCACATCATGATCACACTACCAAAAGCAATCAGATATCACTTATCAGATTAATAAATTCAAAGATTTCCTAATTAATCTTGAGATTAGTAACACAGATTATCTTACACACCACATCATGATCACACCACCCAAAGCAATCAAATATCACTTAACTTATCAGATTAATAAATTCAAAGATTTCCTAATTAATTTTGAGATTAGTAACACACTGATTATCTTACACTCCACATCATGATCACGCTACCCAAAGCAATCAGATATAACTTATCAGATTAATAAATTCAAAGATTTCCTAATTAATCTTGAGATTAGTAACACACTGATTATCTTACACGCCACATCATGATCACGCTACCCAAAGCAATCAAATATCACTTAACTTATCAGATTAATAAATTGAAAGATTTCCTAATTAATCTTGAGATTAGCAACACACTGATTATGTCTACACTAAGACAGGAACCCTAACCCCATCCAGTAAAGTGTATGTATTATATATATTATTAGTTGATATGATTCTCCAATCAAATAAATGCTTTTATTATATCAATTGTTCTCATGGTTATTTGATATATTTAACACTAATGTATACATGGTATTAGTGCATTAATAATTCTTTAGACACTTTGTGTGGTGCTGCAATGTAATGGTAATTGTGGTCAAATTGTGTTAAAAGCCTCACAGCACTAGTACAGTCCCTTGTCCGGGTGTTGTAGACCAAATTGTGTTGGGAGTGGGGGGTGGTGGTGGCATAAAGGCTTCCTCAAAAAGCCAAGTTCTTGTAGTGTAAGAGCTGCTGTTAAATGGAGAGTCTACTGTGTCTTGACATGAAGACCATACACCACTTTGTCAAGGGCAGTGTTTCTTCCAGACTTTTTTCGCCGGGGGGGGGGGGGGGGGGGGACTCTTGAAATTTTCGGGGGGGCGGTAGACTTTCTTCGGGGGAGGGGGGGGGGGGGCGGACACTGTTAAAAGTATATATTTTCTATATATAAATATATATATAAATATATAAATTTCATTTCGTTCGGGGGGGCGGTAAAAAATTTTCGGGGGGGGGGGGGGGGGCTTCCGAAGTGATGCCTGGAAGAAACTCTGGTCAAGGGTCATGTCATTGACCATTTTGTCGTGTATGTTGTGAAACTAGTCGTGTGTCTGTGTGTTAATGAAACCCACGTCAGATGGATACATGACCCACAATTCTGGTTAATGTTGCTACAGAAGGGGTTAGTGAGCTGGGTGGTTTTAATCCAAGTCTTTGAGGATATTTTGGTCTCAGTTCGGCACATATTTGTTTTGTTCCACGATGGTACAAGTCGCACTGTTCCAAGCATACATTGTACTGTTCCATGTGGGCACAAGTCGCACTAGTGTGTGACGGCAACAAGTCACGTTATTGTACCCAAACCGCACCAACACCCCTAAGACCTAACCTCCAACGTTTGAGAACCGTCGTCAGTGTACAAGTGAGCAGAAAAACGAGCCGTATTGTTTCCCGGTAAATTTCACCAAACCATGGCCCTGATCCACTTCTCTCCCTTGCTCCCCTGCTCAAAGGGACACCATTCAGTTTATTTTTATTGAGTTTCCGGTCGCTCGTGCCCCTAGCCCTTGAGAGATTGGGCATGCGCGTTGCTCGGTTTGTCTAGCAGACGATACGCCTGCACTTTACACCCGTGCAAACACTGGACGACTCCTTGAGGTACTTGTTACTGCTTTATGTTCAACTTGTTTTTTATTTATTCGGACAAATAGGTTGGGAGTGTTGAAGTCGGTGATGTGATTGCTAGTAAAAGATGGAGTAATTTCGGTAGCTCTATCCTTTTTGGTAAGCGATTTAAAAAAAAAAACCCACACAAATGACGTCATGCAATTTTTGTTTATTTTTGCACCCCCCCCCCCCCCCCCATAGTCACACATCGTCACAAAAAAAACCCAGCAGATCCCCACACGAAGACTTTCGCCCCCCCCCTTCCACTTTTCCGCACATGTACCATAGTTGTAACAAAATTAAACTTATGAAAAAGAAAAAGGATAATATCTTACCAGTGGCGTCACAGGGCGGTGGTGCATTCCGCACAGGTAGGCACCACTTAGGAGGTGACACTAAATAAAAAAAAAATATTTAAAAAATGTTAAAATTTACTGTCAAAATAGTATTTTATCCAGTTAAAATAGTAAAATTGGGGGGGGGGGAGTTGAGCGGAATGAATGAAAGAGTTACACCAAACTGAAAATACAAAAAATTGTTAGTGGGGGTAGGTGTATCCTACCTCACATTTTTTACCAACTGCTCTTCCTCGATTTACATAGTCAACCTAACAATGGAACTACTATTAGCTTCGTGATGTCCTTACAAAACATGTGTTCATTTTAGTTAAGTGAGAACATCAAATGGCGAAGCTTGGGTGGGGGATAGGGGGGGGGGGTATATAGGTCACGACTTTACTTTTCAACAAACAAAAACGAGGGGTAACATCGAGGTTACCGACCACCCGCCACCTATCTGTATATGTAAATAGTGGCGGCAAAATCGACAGCTCACTCGGGCGCCGAATCGTCTGGCTACGCCGCTGGGCCGATGAATGGATTATTTCGTACTTGCCCTTTTTGAAGAAAAAAAAAAGGCGCCACGAAACTACGGCTAGAGGCGCTTGGCAGCTAAATCTATAATTGTGATTCTTAACTTTTTTTTTTTTTGGAGGTACCGAACCCTACGAGTTTCATGTGCGCATTCACCGAACCCTTCTTAATAGTTTTAACGTGAATCATGAGTCGGGCGTATGTCTTGCAGAGTTTCTTCCAGGCATCTCTTCGTGGGGGG